TGCCCACGACTCTGTAAGTACAGTTGACCCTTGAACAACACAGATATGAACTTCGTGGGTCCATTTCTATGAGATTTTCTTCCACTTCTGCTACCCCTGAGACAGCAAGACCAGCCCCTCCTCTTCCTCCTCCTCCTCAGCCTACTCAATATGAAGATGACGAGGATGAAGGCCTTACAATCATCCGCTTCCACCTAATGAATAGTAAATATATTTTCTCTTCCTTAGGATTTTCTTAATAACATTTTCTTCTCTCTAGCTTACTTTATTGTAAGAATATAGTATATAATATATGTAACATACAAAATATGTCTTAATCAACTGTTTGTGTTATTGGTAAGGCTTCCAGCCAACATTAGGCTATTAGGTTATTAATAGTTAAATTTCTGAGGAGTCAAAAGTTATACTTGAATTTTTTTTTTTAGAGATGGGGTCTTGCTCTGTTGCCCAGGCTAGAGTGCAGTGGTGTGATCATAGCTCACTGCATCCTTGAACTCCTGGGCTCAAGCGATCCTTCCACCTCAGCCTCCCAAGTAGCTGGGATTTCAGGTTTAAGCCACTATGCCAAGCTAATTCTTATAAAACATTTTTTGGAAACAGCGTCTCACTATGTCACTCAGGCTGGTCGTGAACTCTTGGGCTCAAGCTATCCTCCCACCTCATCCTCCTGAGTAGCTGGGATTATAGGCACAAACCACTGTGCCCGGCTATACTCCAACTTTTTTACATTTTTTTTTTTTTTTTTTTTTGAGATTTTGAGACAGAGTCTCACTCTGTTGCCCAGGCTAGAGTGCCATGGCGTCAGGCTAGCTCACAGCAACCTCAAACTCCTGGGCTCAAGCGATCCTTCTCCGTCAGCCTCCCAAGTAGCTGGGACTACAGGCATGTGCCACCATACGCGGCTAATTTATATATTTAGTTGTCTAGATCATTTCTCTCTATTTTTTAGTAGAGATGGGGTCTTGCTCTTGCTCAGGCTGGTCTCGAACTCCTGCCCTTGAGCGATCCACCTGCCTCGGCCTCCCAGAGTGCTAGGATTACAGGCGTGAGCCACCGCTCCCGGCCTTTTTTAAAATTTTAAAAAATTTTTTGTAAAGACAAGGTCTCGATGTGTTGCCCAGGCTGGTCTCGAACTTCCGGCCTCAAGAGATCACCCCGTGATCTGATTATCTGATTATGCTGTGATTACAGACATGAACCACCATTCCCGGTTATACTCAAATTTTTGACTGCATGGGGGTGGTCAGTGCCCTTACCCCATGCCTTGTTCAAGGGTCACCTATACAGTCATTTTTCCCCTTCTTGGCTGAGATGACTGAGGCCGAGGGAGGTTAAGAATTCTGCCCAAGGCTGCACAGCTGGGCGGGGTGGCACTGGAGTTAGAGCTCAGATCTGCCTCCCTTGAAGGTGTCCTTCCAGTTACCCTGCTCATACTTCTCAAACTCTGGTTCTCGGACCACTGGTATCAAAATCGCCTAGAATCACAGCCCCACCCCAGACTTAACTAAATTAGAATTTCTGGGGACAGAACCCAGGAATCCAAATTTTAAATAAGTTCTCTCCTGGGGATTCTACTGGATGGAGAATCTGTGAACCTTTTTGTTTGCTACACTGCCTTTCTGACTCAGTGAAACAGGGCAGCTGGGTCCTTTCCAAGAAAGACCACTATTCCTAGGCGTAGGCAGCGGTGACATTTCCTCGGTCTGCCCCGTCTCGATGCATCATGGAATGCCACTTCACTTCCGTAGCCAGGGAAGAACAAATAAGCAAATTTATGAATCATGGTTCTGTTTATATTTTGGTTGCTGAGGCTAAATATTTATTGCTTTAAGTAAGAGGTTCTGCTTTAATTAGAGTCATAACTAACCGCAAGTGCATTGAAATGCATTCTCATGGCCATAAGACATGCATTTCTCAACAGAAAGCTGAAGGCAACTAACACTTTTAATGTGCCAGTGCCTGATCAAAGCAGTACGGCTTATCTAAACTAACAAATAGCTTTCGAAACGGACTTCTAGTCACCACTAGAAGCTTAATTTATGGATTTATCTATTGTTCCTACTGTAACGTATAACGTCACATTTATGTACTATGGCATAAAGGTATGAAGGTGTGGGCGATATAAAGCCCGTAACTACAAAGAACATGAGCTACATTTAGTTTTGAAATGCACTGTGGTCTCTTCCCAATCCTGCCCCTGCCACTCCTTCCCCGGAAAGGGTGCTCTCCCCATTAAATCACCGGGAGAGCCATGGAAGATATCGATACCCAAGCTCCACCCCAGGCTAATTAAATCACAATCTCTGCAAGAGAGGCTGCGGCCTGGGCATTTTAAAAAAGCTCCCCTGGAGATTCTAATAAGCATTCCAGGATGGGAACCTCTGCCCTAGAAGGGTTAGTGGGGGAGGGTGCCGGCTGTGTAGGTAGACCAGGATTCAAATCCTGACTCTACCATTTGCTAGCTATGTGACCTTGGGCAAATGACTTAACCTCTCTCAGCTTTGGTCTCCTCCTCTGAAAAATAGGGATGATAGTGCCCAGCTTGAAAGGTTGTCATAAGGATTCAGTGAGATAATGCAGGGACACACTTAGCGTTATGCTTAGGAGCACTTAACTTAGCACTTAGTAAGGGCCCAATAAATAGAAGATATTATTGTTACAGAGAATGCTAGTCGGATGTTTTAAAATTTTGTCTGCTCCCAGCAGGGCCAGTGAGAAATTGGGATTAGGAGCAAGACAGGATCATGTTGTAATTTGTATACATATATTTTTTATAATTGCTTGCCCATATTCTAGACTCCTTTAAGATAAATTCCCTTGGAGTATGAAGTCTGTAGGCCTGTGATCATTTGCATGTTGTGTCTGAAGGCATCTGCAAAACCTGAACTCAGGGACCAGCCAGGACTAGCTGACCAGTCTGACAACACAGAGATTTCCCCCTAAGTGGCCACACCAAGGGGCTCCCCTCAGCCAGTCTTTTTCTCTCTTTCTCTTCATTCCTGGATCTCTGCAAGTAGATTGCCCATTTTCTTGACCACACATGTTTTATAATTGGCTGAATTCCTCCTAACCTCTCCAGCTTTCAACCCTTTCCTGAAATAAAACAAACTCATTGAAATATTTTTCTCTGAAAAACGTATTAGGAAAGTCAGTCACCTACGAAAGAGCAACATGAAAGGTTGTCGCAAGCAGGCAGAATCCCTGCTGGCGAAGACCAATTAACAAATTTATTAATCAGGGGCCAGTTTACCATTCTGGAAACATCCCGGAGGCAGAGACCACCCTGTGTGCCGACCCTGGTTCCTGTTGCTCCGCCAGTGCAGACACACAGCTCCTGCCTTCTGGGCGACCGTCAGAGACGATGGCTTGTTTCTTGGAACTAAAGCCTCGACCTTTCCTTAGCATCTGGCCTCTAAAGGTTAAGCAAATCCGTTTGAATGTCATACGCCACGGACATGCAAATGACCAGGCTCCATGTTTTCACCCACCCATAACCCACACTTGCACGCAAAAGCCCCCTCGTGGGGGTGGCAGTGCCCACAAAGCCCCAGCACATGCGGTCGTGGGTGCTTCCTCCCTGCTCTTTGGCCTTAAGCTGAAGCATAAGTCATACATTCCATAGCCACGTGGAAATGCGTTTCACGCTTGCCGCAGTGCTGGATTCTCTGAATAATTGGAGTGGGCTCTGTATATATTTATGGGAGATGCGGCTCTGGATGGGAAGAATGTATTTGAGAAGCGCTGGGCTAGATCAAAGGGCGTCTTAGCTTGCAGAGACTCCAATTGGTTTTTCTAGCCCCACACCCTGGAACATAAACAGTCCATAGGACGTGAGTTGTTTTGTGTTTTGTCTTTTGCTTCAACACTTGGGGGACTCCAAAGCTGGTTATGAGAAAGTCCCAAGAATGTGGAGCATTTCCGGTGTGGTGTGCTGGGCAGGGACATCAAAGGTTCCGTTTGCAGCCCTCTGAGTACAGAGTGACAGAAGCCTTCATCTTGTCCCCCACCCTCTGCACCCCTCCCCGCTTTGTTGTTTTTATTGTTCACAACAGCCAAACATAGGGAGGTTGCATGACCACAGTATGTGTGAGCCGCGTACAGCGTTTGCCTTGGAAGGGCTTTTTACACGCTAACTTTGTGGAATCCTTGGCCTCTGGCTCAACCAGGATGAGGGTGGGGTGTGCGTGGGAGTGGTGGGGATGGTCATGGTTAACTCAACGCAACATGCATTCAGGATGTTTCCATAAAACATGACCTCATCTCTTCCAGCCTGCTGGCCATCATTATACTGGTGGTCACTTTTGACTTCGCGGTTACAAAAATAATTCCTTTAATTACCAAAGTGGAAATTCATAGATTGCACGTAGATGGTTCTTACCTCCCCCCAGACAGGCAGGAGGTTGGAGCTGTTTCTGACACTGTCTCCACAACATCAGAACAACTCGTTAATTCAAGGAAAAACGAAGCAAAGCAAAGCAAAATAAAACAATAAAATCCATGCCATGTTGGGCGCTGGGCAGATCAAATAGCTGGGGAGGTTTCTTCCTTTCTCTCTTTTCAAGTAATTGTATTTTTTTATCCTGAACAGACAGTCACATTTTGATCAGCAGGAAGTCTAATTCATTTAGTCAAAGATTGGTTAAGCACCTTGCGTGCACAAAACCGATACAGTCTCACAGTGCGAAGACACAAGATAAGCAAGTCAATAAACAAACAAGATCATTTACAGTGGTGAAGGTCTCATGAAGGAAATAAAATGGCATGATTCAATACAGTGATGAGGCAACTATTGACACATTAAGTCCAGTAAAATAAAAGCATGTATTGAAAGATAGAAGCTAGTTGGGGGGAAATAGCTGGTTATCAAAAAAAGGCATTCCTGTGTTGGGATTATTGGAAACTCTTGGAGAGGGACTGTTTTCCCAGAGACTAGCTCTTAGCTGAACAGAAGCCTTGAGTTATCACTATGGATGAACGAACTGCCTCCCCTCCTCCCACAGGGGGAAGTTCCGCCAAGCAGACCACCTGGGAAGGCGGGCACCGGGTCCCGGCACTGGCTTACTGGCCTGGCAGAGTCCCAGTCAACGTCACCAGCACTGCCTTGTTAAGGTACGAGATCCAGACTACCTCGAGGTTTTGGGGTCTACAGCAAGAAGTCAAGGAAACTTGTTCACCACCCATCTTCGCCAGGTGATCCCTGATGCTTCCCAAAGTCTGATTGTAGCAGTGTGGATTTGCCTGTAGGCAATTCCATATCTAGTTAGAGTAAGAGTGCCAGGGATTCAAACCATCCTCTGGGGGTAATGCCTGAGTGAAGAGGGGCTGGGGTTGGTTTCACATCCATCAGCTTTGAGTCCTGGCTGTATCTGCCGAAGAGAAAGCAGAGGCAAAAGAAGGCGACGGCAGCGTCTCCCCTCTTGGCCTGAGGAAGAGATCACTCGAGCCCTAATTATTCCATCCCTGGGGTTAAGGCAGGTGTCCTAGGGGTGGCTGTGAGAAGCCAGCATGTTGCTGGCAACCAGATCACCCTAAGAAAGGAGTCCGTATGTCCACTTGCCCTGGAGAAGAGGGAGAAGGGAGGTGGCCCTACCAGGCCAGCGGGGAAAGAATGAATCCCTAGGTGAGGACATTCTTGCTACCTCTGGCAAAGAGCTTCTATAAGGAGCGGAGTGTCTGGGTTCTTCCTTTATTAGAAGGACCACTGTAAATATGATATCTCATCATTACTCTTACCTCTGTATTAAGGCAGATCCAGGAGGCCATCTCCTTGGCAGAGAACTTGGCTGTTGTGTGTCAATCTGAAAGCAATGCCTTTGCAGCTATGGAGCCATGACTTACAATGGGGACTTTTTTTTAGAGATGGCATCTCACTATGTTGCCCAGGCTGATCTCAAACTCTTGGCCTCAAGCGATTCTCCCACTTCAGCCTCCTGAGCCTGTGATGGGGACTTCTTATGAATTCGAACAGAGACTTCCTCTCTGGGGTTCTGCCCTGTGTTCACTAACAAGGGGGACCCTCCACAGAAGCCAGTGCTTGTTCATGTGCTCAGAGGTTTGGTCTGGTTAAAGATCGATTTCTTAGTTCAAAAGGTTCTTTACCTTTAGCATAATGGGTTCTGGCAGAAAGAACACAGCCGAGTAGAGGGAAGCGAGCTTCATCGGTCCCCTCCAGCACCCCTAGACCCAACGGGAGGAAGGGGAGAGACTCAAGCGTAGGGGAAAGAAGGGTAAACAGCTCTGACGGCCAAAGTGGGGGGTGGGTGGGCATCCTCCCTGGCAGCGTGGGGCCCCCGGGAACTCTGGGTCAGCCCTGAACAGTCAGGAGGGGGTGCACTGTCAGCGGGTACCAGCAGGTGTGACAACAACAGCACAGCCTGGAATCTCTGATGTCAGGCTGCCTGGGAAAAGGGCCAGGCAGTCTGCTTTTTATAGGGCTGACTTGGTGTAGTCGAAGTGCTTATCGAGAGGGGCCAGGCGTTCACGGGCTGGGCCGCACATGCACAAATAACTCAGCAGTCTCTCAAGTTACAGCACGGAAAACCAAGCAGTCGCTTCTCATCGGAAAACGACGGTGTTTGCACCTACAGTCAACGACTGCGTCATGATAAAATTGCATCATCTTGTGGATCATCTAAGGCCGTAGAGGGGACAGCTGACGGAGGGGATAGTTTAGTGACCAAAGGAAGGGAGTTCTTGGTACAAGGTAGCATTTGCCTGAGGGTCTCTGGAATTGTATCAGAACAATATCAATACACCAGATCGGTGCCTCTTAGGACATCTTTGGTGTTAAATCAGTCCGATTGCAGCCGGACAGCTTTATCTCACAGATTCACCCCCTCGCTGTTTCTGCACGTGAATTCATGTAAAGCAGACTTGAGTGCAGCTTCCTTACTGCCCAGACAGGCCACTGCGTGTGTGTTACCCTCCCCACGACTGCCCCAGGGTCAGCTCTATGGAAAATAATGTTATGATCAATATTCGAGAAACCGATGCTCATGTTCTTGGCAGCCCAGCCCAGCACCACTGCCCAGACTTCTTATCACCTATTCCAGAGCTTTATTCCTCAGTACAATATAGATCTCTTTCCAGATCAGAGCTAACTCTCTCAGGCCACTGAGTGCTAAGGCCAGAATCCCTTAAACCTATATTCCAGTGGCCCTGAGGAATTACGGGCATCAGATAGTCATCAACTGGATATAAATACTCACATAAATATTGAAAAGTAATAAAGGGTGTGCATGGGAGGGCGTGGGGCGTCCACACTAATCCCATCGGTCATGTTTTAGACATAGCCAATGTCCGTATTCAGGTGTGCATGGAGGTGATGTAATAAGATTATAGAAAGGTCTTGTACATGGCCTGTCCACACAGCCTGATGACACCATTACAGAGCAAGGAAAATTCATTTACCCAACAAATACTTATTGTTGTGTCCAGCTATGGGTCAAGCGTTGCTCCAGGGACTAGGGAAGGATTGCTAATGAGCAAGTCAGACAGAAGCGCCCAGTGCTCAGGAGCCGACTTGCCTTGGGGAGGGCAGGGCTTTGGCAGCACGTGTGAAAAAGCCTTGGGAGTTTCAGCCTAAAACTCTTAACACAGGGTTTCTCAACCTTGGCATTGTCGACCTCTGGGGCTGGGTCATTCTTTGTTGTGGGGAACTGTCCTGTGCCTTGTAGGATGTTTAGTATGAATAGCAGGCCTGGCCTCTACCTAATAGATGCCAGTAGCACCCCTCTCCCCAGTTGCGACAACGAAAATGTCTCCATGCAGCTCCAAATGTCCCCTGGGAGGTCTAACCCATGCTGGCTGAGAACTGCAGCGTTAATGTAATTTCTCTTAGCCAAATACAACAAGGGGAAGGGCCTGCTCTGTGTCTGAACTAGGGGGCCCCCATCTCTGCTCAGAAGGAGGACCAATCTTTTGGAGATGATCAGAATGGCAAGCAGGAGGTGATCAGAATGGTAAAAAGGACCTGACACAATGCCATTTGGAAAACAGCTAAAGCTACTGTTTAGCCAGGAGAACAGATAATCCCCTGGACTACCTCGTGGCTTTCCCCAGATATCTGCAAGACAGTCAGGTATGTGGGGGGTGGGGATTCGGCTGGTTCTGGCCTGCCTGGAGGTGCAGAGCCGGGCCTTGGAAGTAGAAGCTACGAGGAGGAGACCGTGTTCACCTCAGTGTCCCGTGGTTTAGGTGTCACCCCCGGGCAGGGGCCTAATCACATGTCCCCTTTCCAGGTCACTCCTCCTCCCTGGGGGGTGGGGAAGTGGTCTGAGTCCCAATCCCACTCTTGGCTGCTCTCCCTACCCTGGGTGGGGCGGGCATGGTTTTCTGGGGGGTATCCCCTGATGCTCTGAGACCCCCATTCTCCCTGAAATCAGTGCCGTTGGGGCCATGCTGGCCTCTAAGAGAGACCTGCGGGTGGAGGGGGGCTGCCAGGGAAGCTGCCCACCAGATGTGGGCAAAGGCTGGCCCCTCAAATCCCTGCAGCACGGCTGAGACCAGGAAGGAGTGGGCACCTAGCTTTGCTCGGGGATAATGACAAGGAATAACAATGCAGGAAAAAAACTTAAAACTAAATGCAGAAAGAAACGTACAGCTTAATGCTAAAAAACGAACTGCTCCCATGTCCTAGGGACAATTCCTGCTCTTCCACCTGAGGAAGTTCTGCTCTCCACGCCCTCACTCAGGAGAGGGGGACACAAAAAGATTCTCCCTCTGCCCAGGTCCAAGCGCCCTGACTCCATCCCTGAGCAATTCCTCCCTCTCTCACTTCCCATCCTCAGACCAGATCTGCCTTTTCCCCAGATAGAATGTCCTCAGCTTCTAGGAGATGCCCTTCTTCTCCATCCGCTGTCTTTACCCAGGGTGCATGCCCCCCGGGATCGCCCAGCGTGGGACCTCAACTCCTCATGCTCCCGAAGCCCGAGTTGCTCCCCTGTGGCCCCTCCACTTCCTCCCTGGGCTTCCTCCCCGGGCTTCCTCCCCCGGCCTGCACACCTTGGGCCCAGCTGGCAAGGCCCTTCTGCATCCTCGTCCTGCTGCCCAATCTCCGTTCCCAGGTTCCTTTTGCAGCGCCTTGGATGAGAACACAAATGCGCACGCTTCCTATGGCTGAAGCCACATGAACAAAAAAGAAAATATTTTCATATGGGCAATGCAGCTTGTAAAGACGTCACCCTGCCCACTCTGAGGACAGGCTTTTGTGTCACTGTGCAGAGCAATCTCAGCCCTCTCCTTGCAGGCGAGGTGGCTCCTGGCTGCCCCTCTCCTAACCAAAAAACTGATCAAAATGGGGTTTCTTCCATTCAGAAGCCGGGGCCCTCCTCTCCATCCGGCCCAGAGGGCACAGTGCCAAGGCCCGCGAGACTTAGGAAAATTTTAATTCTTTTAAAATCCGAAGAGAAGAAGGACTTTTAGGTGGGATAAAATGGCTTAATGTATACTATTTATATACTCATATTTATCTTGCTGCAGTCGTAAAATATAATTTTTTTTTTTTTTTTTTGAGACAGAGTCTCACTCTTTTCCCCAGGCTAGAGTGCCGTGGCATCAGCCTAGCTCACAGCAACCTCAAACTCCTGGGCTCAAGCAATCCTCCTGCCTCAGCCTCCCGAGTCACTGGGACTACAGGCATGCGCCACCATGCCCGGCTAATTTTTTCTATATATTTTTAGTTGTCCGATTAATTTCTTTCTATTTTTAGTAGAGACGGGGTCTCGTTCTTGCTCAGGCTGGTCTCGAACTCCTGAGCTCAAACAATCTGCCCGCCTCGGCCTCCCAGAGTGCTAGGATTACAGGCGTGAGCCACCGCGCCCGGCCCCTGTAAAATATAGTTTTTAATATACTTTGTTTTGCGGAGGAAGAGACGCACGAAGGCAAAAGTGCCCAGTTCCCGTGAAAGTCGGAATGCGGCTCTGTCAACAGCCAAGCAACGAGATGAACGGGGGAAGCTTGAAAGTGCAGGCTTTTGTTTTTGTTTTGTCTCTTTCTGCAAGGTTTTCAAAGACTCCCAGGACCGATGCCTTAGGTGGGTTTGAGGTTTGCAGTAGCTGGGGTACCCTTGGTTGCCTTCCAGGACAGACGTTTCCCCCAAGTTCACACGTAGGCTGCAGGCACAGCTCTGGGATGGCCCTGAGCCGTGGGGGCCAGGGGACATGTCCCGCTTCCCGGGCAAACCTCAGTGGTTTGGCTTCCCTTTGGACTCAAGGGAGGACTTTTTGACACCCGAGCTTGCCAGTGCTGGACCACGCTGCCTTGACAGCCCGAGTCACGACGTGTTGAAGCGTTTCTCACGGGCAAGAGGTTTCACGTGTGCTCCGGTGCGCCAGCTGCCTCTGAGGTTGCCGCCAAACCCTTGAGACACCAGGATTCCGTGGACGTTCGACTCGGTGCTGCGTAATTAGAATGCTAAACCTCATGATGGGGGAGAAAAATGAGATGGAAAAAGAAAGCCTTGCAATGCTTTCCAAAGTCTAACGCAGATCCTGTTTCTCTGCCTCACGGATTTGACCCATCTGTGACGCTGATCTCTCTGAGGGGCGCGATTTAGAGAAAACTCAAACAAACAGCCCCAAACCACCGCGGCCTTTTCAGACTGCTTTGTGGTCGTCTTTGCTTTCCGGTTTGCGGCAGGAACCTTGGACTCTGGACAGGTTTCTGGACCGTTCTGTGCTCTGCGAGTGCTGACTGTGCATTCCTTGACTCTGCGTCAGAGTGGGGTGCCAGGTCCCGGAGCGCGTATCTTGAGAGATACGCCACCAGCTACGTGGACTGAGGAAGCCGAAGGCGAACAGAAACAGCCTGTGCTACAGTCAAGGGAGAGATTGCGACCGGGGTCCAAGGCGGAGCCACAGGGCAAGCACCTTCTGCAGCCCCCCCTGGAGGGTGGAGAGCACCCCCGGACCTCAGGGTGGGGAAGTGGGGAGGCCTGGCTCTGGAGGGTTCTCTGTGCCTGGGTGAGCCTGAGGTCTGCTGCCCAGCCCAGCCTCGGGGTGACCAGGGCCCCTTTCTGGGGCAAGTCTAGCTTCCCCTGCCCAGCCCTCCTGGCTCCAGCAAGTTCCAGGGATTCTCAGTTGGCCTGGCCCTCAGATAAGCAGCTCTGTTGACAGGGCAGTGTCTTAGTCTGTTTATGTTGCTATGAAAGAATACCTGAGGCTGGGTAATTTAATAAGAAAAGACGTTTATTTGGCTCACGGTTCTGCAGGCTATACAGGAAGCATGGAACCAGCACGTGCTTCTGGCCAGGGACTGGGGTTGCTTCCACTCACGGCAGAAAGCAAACAGGAGCATGGAGAGAGAGAGAGAGAGGGAGGGAGAGAGGAGGGAGGTGCCAGACTGTCTTAGCAATCAGCTCTCCTGGGAGCTGATACAATGAGAACACACTCATTCCCCTGGGGAGGCCACCATGCCATTCAAGAGGGATCCACCCTCCTGACCCAGACACCTCCCTCCAGGCCCCACCTCCAACACTGGGGATCAAATTTCAATGTGAGATTTGGAGGGTCAAATATCTAAACTACAGGGTGTCCCAAAAGTCTCCACACAAAGAAAAAATTTTGTAAAATTTTGTAATGAATATTTTGTAAATAAAAGTACATTTAACTACAATTGCCCATTTTCCCTGTCGGTGGCAACTTTTGGGACAAACTGTACATTAGGCAGCCTCTCTGTTCCTGCTGAAGAGTTGTTTCCAGGTATGCACAGCAGGCTGGAGGGGGATTTGCTGTAAGGTAAATTATGATTGGAGCACATCACTTTTAAAAAAATCGCATTAACAAAACCCACCAAAATGTTAACAACGGCTGCCTTTAGGTGATGGGCTATGTGTGCGTTGTTCTGTCTTATATTTCTGGATGTTCTCATTTTTTCTGTCACAAACACTATTTTGTAATGGGCAAAAGAGCTAAAATAAAGGGAGTGATATATTTCACATATCATGGTGTTCTAAACAAAGACTAAATTCTTATGATACAGAGATCCAAGGAATGAACAACGAAGTGGACATTCCCTTGCAGACACCTGTCACACAGCGTTCCCTCTTAGTGAGTGGGTGTGGCCCAGTTGGTGACAGGTAGAACCCCTTAGTTCTTAGATAGGTTCACCCAGGTGCCCCTGTGAATAAGTACAACACAAACACTCAGCGAGCGCTTTCCGAGTGCCGGGCCTCCTCTCTGTGCCTTACCTGTGTGTTTCAGCCACACAACTACCCTGTGAGGCAGGCACCCATACAGTACTCCCCCTTATCCACGGTTTTGCTTTCCATAGTTTCAGTTACCTCTGGTCAACTGAGGTCTCAACGTATAAAATGGAAAATTCCGGAAATGAACAATTCATAAGTTTTACATTGCCAGTGTTCTGAGCAGCGTGATGGAATCTCACCCCGTCCTGTTCCGTCTGGTCCGTCACGAATCCTACCTTTGTCCAGCAGATCCATGCTGTACGTGCTACCCGCTGGCTAGTCATTTAGGAGCCTTCTTGGTTATCAGAGTGACTGCAGGGTGTTTGGCGCTTGTGTTCAAGTAACCCTTATTTTACTTAGCGATGGCCCCAGCATGCAAAAGCAGTGACACTAGCAATTCAGATATGTCCCGGAGAAGCCATGAAGTGCTTCCTTTAAGTGAAAAGGTGAAAGTTCTCTACTTAAAAAGGAAAGACAAAAATTTTATGCTGAGGTTGCTAAGACCTATGGTAAGAACAAATCTTCTATCCGTGTAATTGTGAACAAGGAAAATAAACTTTGTGCTGCTTTTGCTGTCACACCTCAAACTGCAAAGTTTGTGATAAGTACTTAGTTTGATGTACTTAGTTACGGCCACAGTGTGTGATGAGTACTTAGTTAGATGGAAAAGGTGTTAAATTTGTGGGCGGAAGTCAGAAACGTGTTCTGATTGACGGAAGTGTGTTCAGTACGGTCCATGGTTTGGGCATCCACTGGGTGTCTTGGAACATATCTCCCTTGGATAAAGGGGGACTGCTGTATTAACATACCCATTTTAGAGACTAAGATAACTGAGGCATTGAGAAGTTAGATCAGAGGCAGAGCTGGGACTTGAGCTTAGGCACCCTCTGGCCGCAGAGCCTGGGTGCTGAGCCACCGTACCATTCTCCCTCTCATAGGAGCAGAAATTGAGGTGGAACCTGAAGGAAAGGCAGGCAGGTAGAGAGGGTGGGCCATACGGGAGGCTGTCAGCGCTTGCTCTGGGCTGGTTCAGGTGGGTTTTGACACAGCAGGGCCAGGGAGAGAGTCGGAAGAGCTGGGGCCAACTCAGTCTTGCTCTTTCTGCAGCGTGCTGGACATTTTCCCCACCGTGGTGGCCCTGGCCCAAGCCAGCTTGCCCCGAGGCCGGCACTTTGATGGTGTGGACATCTCCGAGGTGCTCTTTGGCTGGTCACAGGCTGGGCACAGGGTAAGTGGAGGAGGAACATGCCCACACCTGGGCTCTTCGGGAGGCTGCGCTGCTGCCTCTCACCTTTGTGCAAATCGAACCATCCTCAGAAGATGTATGCAAGTGCAGTTCAGACCCAGTGTGAGAAACCCCAAGACATGAATCCTTTGAGATGAACCTCTCTTTCCACCCCTCTCCCCCTGTAATCTATCCAGGTTGTCAATCCAGATTTATATTTGACAGTTTGGCTCAGGACGGGTGTACACAGCTGCTTATTCCCTATAATGGACCATTTTTCCCGTGTGTATTTAATTTAACAACGTGGGCACCCAGCACGTTTGTGTTGGATGAGACGGCTGACGAGTGTCTGCGACTCGTTCATTACGAGGCTGCCCCTCTAGAATGGAAGCTTCCCGCGGGCAAGGATCTCAGCCACTGAATTCTCAGTGCACCTGGCAGTGCCCGTGCCAGCCAGCATTCAGTCCGGGCCTTTGGGATGAACAAGCGAGCGAACGGCTGAAAGACCTCTGGGGCAGCAGGCCAGCGAGGTCTTCACGCCCCCGACAGTCCCCCAGCTCCAGAGGGCTCAGCGTGTGCTCTGCAGCCCCTTCTTGACACAGCAGCCCCCCGGCACTGGCTTTGGGCTTCCGCTTCTCAGCGTCGCCCCTTTGGTGTCCCCTCTTTGCACTCAGTGGCAGTGACAGCCAGGAAATGTCAAGCCTGACGGCCTTTCCCTGTCATTTCCTTGTGTTTTCCTTTCACCAAAAGGAAGAGGAAGCAGGAGGAGGCCAGGAGGCCGGAGGAGCACGGAGTCCCCTCCGTAAGGCCCTGGGAGCACACAGCTCCTCGGTTAGGGACCACACTTCAAAGGGTCTATTTATGTCTTTGCCAAGGGTCACATGGAAGTGACTCAAATGTGCGCAGTGTACTGTGGCTGGTGATTACTGAAGCGGCCCTTCCCGCCCAGCCTCCCCGGGCAAACCAGAACACGGGTCCTCAAGGGGCCATCGGTGCTTCTGTGAGCATTAATGCGGCGCTTACGGGTTGTCGATGAGGCTGAAAGGTTCACAGAGAAAGTCCTGCTTCTCCCCAGAATATCTGCCCCCTAGAGCTGCAGACCCTCCAGGCCCACCCCTTCTCCCCAGCGGCGAAGCAGGAAGATGGTTTCCGCCTTTAGGCTGGAAGTTAGCAGCATGTGACCCTGGGGGTTCGTCGAAGACGTCAGTGGAGAGGTGCTGCCGAGTGTTTATTACCATGCTACTAATAGAATGATTGGGGTCACTAGGAAGTGCTTCAAGGACTGTGGTCTCCTTGACGTTGTCGGGCCTGCCTGTGAAGCCAGCTCCTCTTGCGCTAATTCCGTTCTCAGGCGCGCTCTCGCTCTCTTCCTCCAGTCGCAGCTGTGCACGCACTCACGGGGCCCCTTCCGAGCTAGTGTCCAGCAGGGGGAGGCCCAGGAGCCAGGTTGGAGAACCAGACACAAGTCGCAACGTCAGTTGTGGGGACAAGTGATGTGCGGTAACCCAGCTGCAGTTGGGGCCGATTTGCTCCCTAACCACACCCCATGCCCCGGAAAGAGACAACCACACTTGCTGCGCGCAGGAAGCTGCTGACGGTATCTGTGAGGGCACCTTGGGTCACACCCGGCCTCCCAGAGCACGAGATTCCTGCAGCGTCGGTGAAGACACCGGAGAGTTTGAGGACAACATGGGTAGTTAGTAGCCCTGAATTTGGGTTTGGTCTTCTTTGGTCAGTCCTTTCTATGGAAGCAAAGTAATAGGACTAAAGAGACAAGAGTGAATTGTCTCGAATTTGGAACAGCTGTTGGAAAGGCCAGCACGTGAGGATATGAGTGATTTTTTTATATATATGTATATATACACACACATGCATGTCTATACACAACATGCATGTATACATATGTACATACATGCATGTGTCTGAATGCACACTCATGAACGTACAAATATACATATGCACATTCACATGCACACATATGTATACATATATATGTCTACACATACATGTTATATCTGTATATATGTGCGTATGTCTAGACACATACAGGCATACACGCGTATACATACACATATGTTTATGCCCACACATACCTGTATACTTATATTTTTAAAAATAAACACAATTTGTGTTCACTCTCAGATATGTCCTGGACTTACAAGGATTCCAGTATGAGTTGGTTTAGAAAACCATTCTAGTTTCTAGGAGCTCAAAGTAACTCCCAGACAGTCAGCTCAAAACAATATGCAAATGCTTCTCAGCAATTGGGTTCTTCCCTAATGTGCAAATCCAGTAAGCAAGAGTTAAAGCGAGCTGAGAGGTGTAATGCAAGTACTGGGCTGCCGGTTCCACACTGGACCTCTAGGACATCACGTCTGAGTTCAAAACCAACAGCAGCCAATACCATGCTGCGTGTTCCTTCCCCGCTCGACCTCCTGCTTCTGATCTTAGTGAGGGCCACGTGGAGAGAGATGAGAGCCGGGAAGGGGAGGGCTGCACAGGCTTGAACCAAGTGTCCCACCTTGTGCTTTCCTGACTCCCAGACGGAAGCCAAAGATTGCAGCGTCACCACTGGTCAAGTCATATCTCTGTCCCAGGTTGTCATGACCAGGTCCAAAAGCTGTCAGCTAAGGAAAAGTTCCCCTAACAGCTGTGCACCTGTCCAGCCCAGCCCAGTCTGGGGCTGCTGTGGGTCCTCAAATGCCTGGCACACACCCGGAGGTCATACACTGAGGGAGCCAAAGCTGGGCTTTAGTGTTGGGGACACCGATCACTTCTCTTAGAGAGGCCCCTAGTGGTGAGAGACTGTCACCCAGAGCGGCTAGCAAATGACCGTCTCATCCAGACTGTGAGCTGTGCTCCCCTACCTGATGGGATGAAGGAGCCCATCTGAGGATGCTAATAAGCCCTGGCCTCCACGATCTAATGTAAGGGGACACTCGTGTGCTTAAAAAACAAAACAAAATAAAATAAAGCAAACAAACACGCATAAGAAAGGCAACCAAGAAGGGCACAAGAAGTTTGCAGAAGATAAAGTCATCTTTGAAATTTGGACCAGGCATTTGGCGAGCTGCAATTCTTGTGTAAATTTGCCAACCTACTTCCCCTGTTGATATAAATAAGAAAGCCATGATCAGTGTGCTCAAAGGGAAAAAATGCATATATGAGTTCTCCAAAATCCATCCACATTTCTGAGAATGAGCTGTCCGACAGTTTTGCTTCCTCTTGGATTTTGGCAGCGGCCTCTGGTCACGCCAAATAAATGTTCCGAATAGGGCAGCCCACCCTTATGGAATTTCTGCTGCTGAGAATCCAGTGAGCTAAACGATCCGAAGCTGCGAGCCTGGCCTCAGCCTGGCCCCCCATCTTCTGGATGTCTGAGTGATCAGTTGACAATAGGTTTTCCAAGTCTCCCACTTCCTGCCATCTCAAGAGGGAAACAAAACAGTCTCCCGCGGTGAGACGCCTGGCTTTTTGCTGGGATGAAAGAAGTGAGGGTTTTTGGTTACGACTTCTTTTCCTGTTTGGAAGGAGCCTGCTGTCATCACCAGGGCCCCGGGTATTTGCAGGGATTGTCACGAGAGTCCAGAAGCAGCAGGTGTGGGGGGAGCCCCACCTTGGCGGCATCCTCTCAGAACTGTGAAATTTGGGGGGACAGCTGTTTACTGCTCTAACAGATGTTTCTCATTTTTTTTAAAGCCCCATGGAAACTTTGAATCACATAAGCGCCTTTCCAGCCATATATACGCTCGTGATTCATACCAGAGCAGTCTCATGCTTTTAGCCCAAACCCACGGACCTACAAAGGACACTGGCCTTTTATTTTTTATCAAATCCTTCCCTTGGGGATCCTGAATTAGGTGTTTCCATTCTTTAGGGTAATTCTTTTTATCTATGACTCGATGAGGAAGGATTTCCTCAGTCCAAGTACAGAGGGATTGAGTCATAGGTGTGGGCGTCTGTGTTCTGAGGCCGGACTGTGCCCAGTGCTGGGGAAATCAAGGGTGGCTTCTTAGACCAGCCTTGCCCAAGGGAGGGCTGGAAAATCGACTTGATGTTGAAGAAGCTGTTTTTCAAAGAGATCTGAGGGTCACCTGCATCAGAGACCCTGGGAATGTTTGTAAAACATGCAAGTCCCAGCCCCATCCTGCCCCCGAGGGGTGGGGCTCAGGCAGGACAGCCTTGTGGGCCTGTGACCTGTACCCCCACTCAGGGCCCCACACTTGGAAGGACGCTGTGCTTGGTTTAAAGCTCTGCTGTGATCTTCATGAAAGGTTTAATTTGTGAACAAGGGATCCCCGATTCTCATTTGCACTGAACCCTGCAAATTACATAGCCGGTGTTGGGTCTAGAAATCTGACCTACCCAGTGAGATCTTTCGCCCACTGCTCCAGAGTTGGAACCCACTTCGATTCATTAGCTAGCAAAATGACGACTTCACAGAGCCTCTCGGGCATTGGCCAGTGTGGACTAGAGGCCTGCGTCTGTTAGCGTTTGGGGCAGGGATGGGAGCGTGGACCTTGATAAAGAAAGCAGTGCTTCCCAGGGAACATCTAGCATGGTTTCCTTATCAGTAAGCCCTTCCAACCTTCCTCAGGTGCTGTTCCACCCCAACAGCGGGGCAGCTGGAGAGTTCGGAGCCCTGCAGACTGTCCGCCTGGGGCGTTACAAGGCCTTCTACGTGACAGGTGAGTGAAGGCCCGCTTAGCCCCGCCTCCCGCATGCACACCTGGTTGGTGGCCCCTGGGACTCTCACTCAGGCCTTTGGGAGTGAGTGTGGGCTGCCCTCCTCTGGGGAGCTCTCAGCACCACTTGACGGTGCCACCCCCAAACCCAGGCCCCGCAGAAGGACCCAGCGGAAGCCCTCTGGACCCACCCCTGTGCAAATAAGGTCTTTCTACTGTTCCCGTAAATTTCTAGCAAGCTCAGAGAGCTCTCTGCACATTCATTCGGCTCCTTTTCACATAGATGTTTCATTGCATTGTTACGCTTTAAATGCCAGTTTGGCTGAACGTTAAATGGAAGCCTAGAGATATTTTAAAGTATAATTTACTTGACAATGGACTGTTTCAGAAAATAGACTTTAGAAGTCTATTTAGCAAACTGACAGATGTCTCTCTGCTTCTTGGTTCACTCTGACTGTCTTAAATGTATATTTTAGAAATGTTACACTGGAGGCCGGGCGCGGCGGCTCATGCCTGTAATCCTAGCACTCTGGGAGACCAAGGCAGGAAGATGGCTCGAGCTCAGGAGTCTGAGACCAGCCTGAGCAAGAGTGAGACCCCGTCTCTACTAAAAATAGAAAACTTAGCTGGGCGTCATGGTGCTCGCCTATAGTCCCAGCTATTCAGGAGGCTGAGGCAGGAGGATCCTTGAGCCCAGGAGTTGAGGTTGCTGTGAGCTAGGCTGATGCCACTATATTGTACCCAGGGTGACAGAGCAAGACTCTGTCTTCAAAAAAAAAAAAAAAATATCATACTGGATCAGGATGGTTCTCAAAATCTTCCAATGGCTTCTTGCTGCCCACTGAAATCAGACTCTCAGTCCTGGGTCCCTCTGTCTTTCCAGCCTTAATTCTTCAAGAGCAAGTCCTCTCTTCCTTGGCCTCTGTATTAACATCCTTCTCAGCTTTTAAGGCCCCAAATCAAATGCCACTTTGATTAATAAAACTCCCTCTTCCCAGCGGGGCAGGCTATGGAGAACTCTGATACCTATAATATCACATTCTGCCATATATGCTAGTCATGTATGTACATGTTTTATTTTCTCTACTAGTTTTAAGCTTTCTAAACTCAGAGCTCTTTAATCTTCATCGTCTTGAAGTACTTAGCACACTTAGAAGGGACCTAACATTTTTTTAATGAATGAAAAGCAAAAAATAGAAAAGCAAAATCTGTGACCTAATGCAGATTCCAATTTGATTCAGTTATTTAATGTTGGAGTTTTTCAAAGAACTATATAATAAAAAACAAAAATTATTTTCCCTGGCCAGGCGCGGTGGCTCAGGCCTATAATCCTAGCACTCTGAGAGGCCGAGGCGGGCAGATCATTTGAGCTCAGGAGTTCAAGACCAGCCTGAGCAAGA